ACTATACACACCAAAAATTAGACAACAATCAGTTGTCAATACCCAAACACTCAGTACACATACACGGATCACTAATTCATATATCATGCACACGATGGCATATATATTCACCAGTTCACACACAGCCCAGCCCCAGCTGCCCCACCCCACGCACAGATCTGGGGGGCACATGCCACCCCCCCCCATGTTCTCCTGGGGTGCGCAGTGGTGGTAGCCTCCCCGTTCCCTGCACCCCCTGGACAAGCCATGGCTCTCCCCCATGCCCCACACCACTGCTGCTGGGCTGCACCTGCCCCAGCCCTTGCCCCACTCCCTGTCTCACTGCAGAGGCCTCAATCTGCCCCCCTCCCCCATGCCCTTTCCCTTCCACCACAATAGACTTACCAACCGGACACTGCTCTTCAAGCTGCCAGGCTGCGTATCAGAAATCGGATCAGTATTGGCTGATATGCCTCCTTAAAAATCAGCTATCAGTATCAGCCCAAAAAATCTCTATCAGTGCACCCCTAACTTCAACTACATGGATTAAATCTTGCTAATTGAAAAAAAAAAAAAAAAGAAAAATACTGAAGCCCACTTATGTGAAAGGTTTGAACTTACCAACAAAAAATTGTTCCACAAGTCTAGAAATTTAAATCTTCCATTAAGTACTAAATTCCAGTAGGCAATGGCCATTTCTAAATCTGTAATATTAAAATATATTACTCTTAGAGATATATTTGAAAGGTACTCTTCTCTACAGGTATTTGTGCTAAGTCGGAACAGACTTTAAAAACTAATGAAGGAGAAAAAAAACAATTCACCCAATGCTAGTACACTCTTCTTTCTAAATCTTTGTTAAAAAACAGTGAACACTAGTGAACACTGAGGAAACCGTAATGGGTTTTGTTTCACTAAGCAATTGCTTTTAGATGTTGATAGGACCTCTGGAGCAAACTAGATCAGAAGAAGAATTTCAGTAGTTCAAATTTGTATGTTTTGTCCAGAATAAACACTTGATCTGAGCCTTCCAGACCTTTAACTTTTCTCTTACTCTGATTTAGCAATTTGGGCTCATTTCTGAAAGTGCTTTGTATGAACAGATCCTAGCAACTTCATAAGGAATAGGCTCCTCTAATCATTTGCATCTTTTAAAAAGTAATAAAAAGACTTTCAATAATAAAATGATTATATAACTGTTGGACAAATTTGGGAGGAGGGGGAGAGAGGGAGGGAGTAGGACCTATACAGTTGCAACACCCTTCCTTTTTTTTTCCCCCTTTACTGCAAAGACTGCATAAGACACTTGACAGTGCTCCTTTAACAGAATATGAGTAGGCGCTGAGGCTGCCCATGCCACTTGCAGAGCTTATGTTGCAGTTTGTGGCCACCCCTGATTTTAAAGATCAGTCCTGCTCAATTTTGGATTGGAGCACAGAGGTGGCATCAGATTAGCTTAGCTACTAGGATGTCTGATATGCATGTGTGAACCACAACCTTTCAAAGGCTTGTAACCTGCATAGACTCTAACAAGCAGGGCACAAGGTACATCCCAGTTGTGAAGACCCAAAACCTGCCAAATGTTGAGTCCCTGCTCCAAAGTGCAAGGCTACTGTATCTTTCCTTGTAAGAGTTCTCTTGATTGTTTTAAACATGGGCAAATGGCCTTTGTTCTCTAACCACGCTCTCAAAACAGCTGACCTATTTCTGCTCAAGATTTAAAAACAGATATGTCTATATACATAAGCCTAGGGTAGTCATCCACCACAAAAACTGCACCTTGATGAAGTATGGTAAAGTTGCTTGTAACTTAAAAACAGGCTCTTAAGATGGCATGTGTTTGGCAATCCTGATAATAAGCAGTACCATTAGTTCCAGTTGTAAACAAGAAAGCAGCAAAGAGTTCTAAACTCTCATAAATAGGGATCTACCTAAATCGCTCCAGAAGTATGCTGTGAAGTGGCTCCTTTAATCTTTCTCTTTTTGCCATTCAACTCCCTCCAACCACCAACTGGCAGAGTGGCCCTGGCAGCCCCACTGCTTGCCCCAATCAGCACTTCCGGCACAATTTAGGTAGATCCCCACTGATAAGTCAAACCTAAAAAAGACTACAGAACTCAAGAATTGTGAAATCACAAACAAGTAATGGAAATCAGTCCAAATGAGTCTCATTAAGATCTTTACACTAAACTCCTACTGGTGCGTGCATGTGCATGTGCACACGCGCTGTTAAAGAAATTAGTGAGAGTTTAATATAAAAGGTCTTAATGAGACTCATCTGGACTGATTATATTATATACTTCTGGTATAAACTGAATGTGAGGGTATTATAGAAGGGTTTTAATAAAACTTCCTCAGACTGGATTGCATAACACAACTACCATACGCAGTATATGCCTGCTGGAAACAGACAAGTTGTTCATTTTTCCCCATTCTGTGGGATTTATGATAAACACCTGCTTAAACTGGCTCTCTCAGAACTTCATAAGTCTTATTCGTTTTAAGCACCTTTCAATAATTTCTTTATAACTGCATTTACCTTTTGAAGGGAAATACCTGAGCATTTTGAGCATGTCATTTAAGGCCTGGATGCTGTTGGAGAGCAGGCCTTCAACCATAACCTGCTACAGAACAGGCAACTGTTTCAAAATCTATTTTATTCAACCATTCATAGGTTTGGCTTTGTTTCCCATACTTAAGCCTCAATTCTACAAATGACTCCAAAAAAGATCAACACTTTATCTATGCCAGTGCTCCTCAACCAGGGTGCCACAATATCCTTTCAAGGGTGCCATACTAGCACGGTCAGGTGCGTGAACAAGTCCACAACTTACTAGGCAGACTCAGAGATTTCAAGTAAGAATTTGTGCCTTGAAAAATGTTGCAACTTGTTGTGGTCCAAGTTATTTGCAGCAGAAGAATTATTTCATTATTAATCCATAGTCAAGGAACAAGTGAAAGCAAAGAGCTGGTATATTATGAGGTGGTGCCTCGAGTCTAACAGGAGGTGCCTTGATTCTAAAAAGGTTGAGATCCACCCATTTATGCAGTGAGATCTGTGCTTGGGTGCAGATACATACATTTTAAATAAATGATTAAGCAGTTCCCTAGCTTTGAGTTAAGGAAGGGAAAAAAAAACATCACCAGCAACACATCTTAAAATTAAACCCAAACAAAAACAGGAGAAGACTGGCAGTGTTCCTACTAAGGAATACAGCCTTTGCCCTTCCTTTAAAAAAATGGTATTGAGCTAAAAAGTAGTCTGTATGCCAGCTGCAGACAGCGTATAGAACAATTAACATTTACACTCTGCAATTTCCAAAGAGAAAAAAAGCTACAGAACCACAACACTTAAATTTTGCTTAAGATCATGACTATAAATGCAATGAAAAAGGAACCTACTCTTGACCACCGCATGGGTTTTTTTGTGATACCTGAATTCTATTTTGCAAAGAGATTTACATGTATTTTTTTGCATTCTGAGCCTACTTTTACAGTTGAAACTTATAATTGTTGTTCTATTAAATCCACAAGTTGTTGCATATCCTGAAGTATTTTAAAATTATACTTTCACTAAAAGTTCATTTATTCACTTTAAGGGGAATTATGCATGTACACCACAAGGAAGAATATGGAAAACTAAAGTGGTCAGTTCATAACAATGCATGAAATATGCCTATGGATTTGAAAACTGACACTAATATTAAACTCATTTTTGACATCTACCTTTCACCACAGCAAAAATTTCTCTATGGCTAGTTATTTTTCACACTAACAGGGTCATAATAAATTGTTTCACTTACTGTAGCAAGATATTTTCCCGCATCGGCATCCCAAACACTAAACAATCAAGAATACCCACCTAAACCTTTTTGTCCCGGATTCTTTGCAAAGTTGAAAGTAAACTGATAAAAATCCTTAAATCTTCCTGGCTCCTTTAATTCTTGTTCCATTTTAGGAATCTGGGCCTTTAGTTTTTCTATGCTGTCACATCTGTATTTTAAAAGCAAGACTGTGTATTACTCATTTTGTCATAACATACCAAGTTTATTTCTAAAACCACTGACTAGGACCCAAAAATCTTATAGTTGAATTACGTGAAACTGCTCAACAAACCAGTAACTAGTCTGTATTTGTATAGCCAGTGCAACTTTTTACAGGTAATTCATCACACTGACACACATGCTCTGGTTGAAAGCCAGATTTACGTAGTCTACAGTAATTCAAGATCATTTGTCAGAATGACCCAAGATAAACAAGTCTGGTTTTCTGATACAGATCAAGAAAAAACTGGGCTGCAAGTATAGACACTGGGCCAAATCTTGCTTTACCGTACCCAGTGGGGCAACTCATACAGCTAAAGCAAGCAGCATCTGAACCTAGGTCAGAGCTCTTTTCTAGCTTGTACAAAGTTGATAGCAGATATATTTCTACATACACAGAAGACTAGACTAGCTCTGAAAAGACACCATTCTGTTCTGGATTTCCAGAAACAATTTTTTCTCCGTTTCAGTCCCAACTTTTGACAGTGAGTTACACTGGTAGTGTCATACCTGTTGCATACTTACCCTAAATCAGTCATGCCATCCATGAATTCCTGCTTTGAGAACTCACACTGTGTTGCAGCTCTGAATTTCCATGCGATGATTAGTACAGTAATGCTGGCAGGGTCAAGTGCTAGGTCATCACAAAATTGCTGTATTCCATCTATACCAATTTTATTTTCATCTTGAGGATCTTTGAGATACAAAAATAATGATTAGTAAATGAAAAAAATCAACCAGGTAGCCAATTCCTTCAAACTGGAATATATGCACTTTTCATGAGCACACAAACTTCAAAAATTACTCACGAGATAAGCCATTTTAAAAGCAGGCATTTAGCCACTTTTAAAATACACATTTCTGTTTAGTTTGAATTTTAATACTTGGGAAAGTTACTGGAATAAAAAAGTCATTTACAATGAAACCCTTCAAATGCGCAACGAACACATCCAGTACAGGCAACTGCAGTGCAAAGTCTGTATGCAGTGAATTCTGACTAACTATAGTTCACTCCCTCTCCACATTTTGTTCTCAATTTCTCTGCCTAGCCTGCCAGCATGGATGTCATTACAGACGACAGATTCCTGAAAGGTTGACAGGTGTCCACTATAACCTGCACTGAAACCACTAAATTGGCTTCTCCGAAACTAGTACACTAATGTCATTTTTGTATAATTTCTGGCCAAATTGTGCCAGACTGGTCAGGGTAACCTAGAAGCCAGAGGTGGTACTGCCTTATTACCAATCTCTAGTCACTCAACTACTCCCCACACTCTTCACAAAGTAGTTAATAGCTAGCCTGGAAATAAAATCTTTACTAAAAAAAGCTTTACTAAAGCAACCAATCAAAGACTTCAGGAGAATGCTTGTGTATTACAGGGCATATACACATGAAGAACAGATGTGGTAGAAAGAGAAAGAACAGCAACTGTAATCGCTTTGCATATATGAATTTTTAATAGATTCTAATAAAAATACTTCCTATTAGTACATTACTAAAGTACATATTAAAATGGATGATATTTTGTGGTGTGCCAAAACAGGCATGACCTCGTCTTTCATACCCTACCAGTATTCATTTAATAAGAACTGTGGGGTTATTTTTGAGATGTCTCCTCATCCACGCTCCATTTCTATTGACTAATCTATAATGCAGTTTTCATTTGTCAAGGATTAGGTCCTTCTAAGTCCCCCACAGAAGAATCAATTATCTAAAAGTAGCACAGCCATTAAGGGCGCAATCATACTGCATGAAAGCTCAAATTTAGGCCCCGATCTTGCAAAAACTTGCTCATAACGAGTAGCTTCATCAAAGTCCACTGTGCATAAAGTTAAGCAGGCGTGTTAAGATTTGCAGAATAAGGGTCTTATCAATGTCCCTTCTCCCTTTTCAGACTGGGTTTGCATTGCTACATAGAAAGGTAGAGAGAGCAAATTAGTCAACATTTTTAGAGTAGCTCAATGGACACACGCATAGGGTCTACAGTTTGCAGCTGCAAATAAATCCAAAATGCATAATTGTTAGAACTCCCCGTACTCACCTTTGTATCGGTTATATAGCTGTTCTAGTTTTTTTCGGTCCAGCGATCCTTTAACGCTCTCTCGTATATAAAGTTCAGGATTTTGGAAAAAGTTGTCTGTTGCAACATCCAACTTCCAGTCATTTTGGGATAGACAACTCACTGCAGTCTTTTCACTAGATTGTGTAAAGATCATAAACTGGCGTACTTTATCCTTTTGTGACGATTTCAACTTGTTCTAGCAAAGTTAAAACAGATAACACTGAAACTAAAAATGGTTAACTGGAGAGTGGGGGGACAAAATGGGGATGAGAGCACATCAGTGTCTCATACTTCTAGTACAAGTTCTCTGGGAGCAAACATGTAAAGTAACATTCTTTTCTTTCTCTTTAAAAAATGCTGATTTTTTAACATCAGCTGAAAAAAAAAAAAGAGAACTTTTTTTTTTACCTTTCATATTCACACACACTTCATTAGGCATGTTACAAGGGACAGTGTAACAGGCAAAACCAATTTATTCTTTTTTAGGTATGCAGATAAGCAATACTGTATATAAGACAGACTTCCATGGAGATGGAAAAGTTCTGCACAACACAAGACAAAATTACCCCAATCCTAGGTCTCCTGTGTAGTAACAAAATGATCAGCTAAGTCACCACACAAATCTTCTGGCCAAACCATCCAGACACCAATCAAAAACTGACACCAGCCAAATAAGTAATAAGCAACAGTAATAACACAGCAGGTGCACAGATGGTTCCTATTTTACCTAGACGATTGATTTCTCTGATTATAAGAAGAAGAATTAAACATGTCATGCCTGCCAAAGAATAGCAGCTGAAATGCATTAAGTTTAAGTCTGCTGTAATTTGGAGATCTGTTCCACCAAACTTAAGGTCAGATGATGCCACTTTTAATTTTTAGCTTTCACTGTTTTTAAATAATGAAACATTTTTATCATTCTTATTGCATTCCTCAAAGTGCTTCACAATACATACCACAGGATTCCTGCACAATGGCCACTGTCTCCATCTTACAGATGTATAAACTGACGCAGAACAAGTTGAGGCAACTTGCCTAAAGCCACACAGCAAAACAGCAAGGGTCATGGCTGAAACTAAAGAGCTCTGGGTGCCAGGCTTAAGCCAACAGATGCATCTCCATTTACATTCCTAGTTTAATCAATGTAATGAGAATCCTGCAATTTACCATGCTAAGCATGATTCCATTGAGCAGGTAAGTGGTGGAAAAGGCATAAAGTGCTCAAATAAAATTTCAAATTTGATAATTGTGCTTCACATACACTACACTGGAGGGGAGGAGAGGGAGAGCAACCTAAGGTACAGATGCCACAAGTGGCGCGCACAGTCTCTGTGTGGCATGTGGCAGATTATGGAGGGAGCAAGAGACACACAGTGCAGGAAGCAAAAGGCAGAGCAGCAGATCAGGCAGAGGAAGGGAATCAGTGGCACACAGGGAGGTCATGGCATAATTGCCCGCTACGTCACCCCTTTGGCTAATTCGCTGAACCTGTATACACCCAGTTCAAAAGCTAGCCCCAACATTTTCCAAGAAAGCTTTCCAATTAATACATTTCAATCTAGTAAATGAAGTGTTGTTTTAAGTTAGGAAATAAATACCTTATCTGTAAAGTTTAAAGACTTTTTAGTTCCAAGCTTAAATTTTTGTCTTTCATACTAACCCCTACCCCTGCAAAATCTGCAGGGGTGCAGAACCAGCTCCTTCCGCAATTGAAAAAAAACAAAGATATCAAATGGATGCGAATTATCTTTACATAAAGAACGTTTTAGAAGGAGGAGAACAGCGACTCTGCTCCATGTTATGTATAGTATCTAATTACAATGTAAGTAGGAAGTACAACCAGCATTTCAGATTCTACACAAATCTGGCTCAAAAAGCAAAACCCAATTCTGTACTGCTCAAAAACCCATTACGCAGATCATGTGAACACTACTACCAATGTACCCACAACAGCCGTTAGCAAGTTTCCAGTTCCAAACTGAGAACAGTCCATCTGAAGAGGTACTGCATAGGTACTGGGAGTATCAAAGGTACAATACTGCAAAGTGATGACCATCTTCCACAACACACAAACCACTCAAATACTGAAGATGTAGAAACCTAAAGCCCAATGCAGGAGGACTGTTTTTAGAGGTAAATATCAGAGTGTCACAGAAAATTAGGGTTGGAGGGGATGTCAGGAGTCAATCTAGTCCAACCCCCTGCTCAAAGCAGGACCAGCCCCAACTAGACCATCCCAGCCAAGGCTTTGTCTACCCGGGGCCTAAACACCTCCAAGGATGGAGAATCCATCACCTCTCCGGGTAACCCATTCCAGTGTTTTACCACCCTCCCAGTGAGAAAGTTTTTCCTAATATCTAACCTAAACTTCCCTTGCTGTAAAACTTGAGTCCATTGCTCCTCGTTCTGTCATCTGCCACCACGGAGAACAATCTAGATTCATCTTCTTTCAAACCCCCCTTCAGGTAGTTGAAGGCTGCTATTAAGTCCCCAC